TGGAGAAGGGGTCGAGAATTCTGGGGTCGACGTAATGAAAAAATCATTACGTCGGGGGTCTGGGGACCTCGAGGCCAGTCCACCAGGAGCCCCAACCCTGAGACCCCAAAGCGTCCACCGATTTCTGGTGCGGTAGCGTCGCGCTGCCCACGGCAGAGCCATCAGAGTCCAGGAAGTCCAGGGCACCCCGGAGGCAAAGCAGGGGGTCTCTTGGCATGGGCCCCCGCCGTGCGTCCACTCGCCAGCTTTGGGGTGCCCGCGGGGTGGGCGACGTGTCGCCTTCGCCCGCGCTCTGTGCGCATCTCGCTCGGGAGCGGCGCTCCCGCGCGGGCGCGGCGCGCGGCTCGCTCGCCGAGCCGCACGAGCACGGCGGCGGCAGCGGGGCCGCGAGAGAGCGGGAGAGGGCCGACCTCGCCCGGGCGCCGCGCAGCTTAGGACTGAAAGTGCCAGGTGCTGCTTCGGCGCGGCGCAGGCGTCGTCTTCGCCGCGCCCGCCAGAAGTTTTGCCGCTCCACGCCTGCGTGGTCCGCGTACACCCTGCGAAATGCTTAAGAAATTATGGGTTAAGAAATTCATAGTCTCAGAACTTGAATAAAAACCCAAAATTTCCATTCAAACCTTAGGATTTACCTTGAAACATTAAGAATAATCGAGACTCTGGCCGAAAACTTAGGTTTTCTTAAGCATCGCCTAAGGTGTACTTTCCCCTGTCTCCAGGTCGTCGAAGAGCGGGGCCGCGCGCGAGCGCCTGCCGCTTGCGAGGTGGGAGTGCGCTCCAATCCCAGCATCAGGTTGAAACACACTTGATCCTTCTGCTGCGGGAGGAAGGGTGGGAATCTACGGAGCTCCCCTACTCGCTCGACCCCCCTCTTGCTCCTAATCTTTCCCCCCTTCTTCCTGCTTCTCCCTCCCTTCTGCAAGTGGGGAGCTAGGACAATAAACAAATGGAAGCCAAGGTGTTCAATCCGAAAACCTCCGAGAACTGATCAACGACATTCGAGCACACCCCTCATCCTCAAGTTCCCTCCGCCTTGCCTCATTGCCATTCTTAGTGCCAATAGCGCTGTATGACAAGCCGAAGTAATCAAACAACTCACGAAACCCTCCGATAATCGATCAAGAGTATTCGAACACCTCCTCCTGCGCCTCAAGGTCCCCACCTTTCCTCATTGCCCGTCTCGGTGCCAAACATGCCGTCTGCCTGCAAGTCCGAGCTGCCTCCCCTCGAACGACCCTGAGATCCTTCGAGGGGGAGCTCACTGCCTCCTTCTTCTCCTTGTTTCCCCTTCCTCCTTTCTCCTCCTTCGCGTCCTCCTCCTTGACCTCCTTCTCCTCGCCTCCTAGCCTCCTCCTCCTTTTTCTCCTCCCTGCCCCCTCCTCCTGCTCTTTCCTCCTCGTCCTCATCCTCCTCCTCCTCATCCTTGTCTTCTTCCTCCCATCTCTCCTTTTTCCTCTCCCCCCGTCTATCCTCATGCGCACCTCCTTCCTCACTCCCTCTTCTGCGTGTCCTCCTCTCCCTCCTCCTCCTCCTCCTCCTCCTCCTCCTCCTCCTCCTCCTCCTCCTCCTCCTCCATCCCTTTACCTCATGGCCAACTTCTCAATGTCGCACCCAGGACGTGTCGGTAGGGGTGGGCCGGGCGTGTCGCCTGAGACGTCCTCACCAACCGTGGTCCCGAACTCGCCATCGCTCGGACGTCCATCCCCTGTGCTTTTTCTGGTTTCGTGCGTGGTTTTCTCGCCAGACGGTCCAGGCTGCCCCTCGATGGTCCTCGCCGAGGGAAACATGCACACGTTCGAGCGATGCCAAGGGACGCTTGAGGTCTGCAAGAGCTTCGCGGACGGAGGGCGGGCGGTTTTCCAACGCGCGCCTCTCGCCTCGGCGCGCCGCGCACACATATTCGTTTTTTTTTTTTTTTTTTTTTTTTTTTTTTTTTTTTTTTTTTTTTTTTTTTTTTTTTTTTTGTCAAAATCTGCAAGAGCTTCGCGGCGGGGGAGCGCGGGTGGCTTTCGACAGGGTGTGGCTCTCGCCGCAGGGCCGCGCACACTCGTCTTCCAAAGTCTGAACATGACGAACGGACAACACGCACCCATACCCATAGGGGGGTCGTTGGGAGGAGGACTGGCTATGGGTATGGGTGCGGGTTGCCGGACCCTGGGGAGCGCTCCCGTTCGAGCGGGGACCCCCATCCGACAACACGCACCCATAGCCCTCTCCGATCCCCCTATGGGTATGTGTGTGTGCGTGTGTGTGTGTGTGTGTGTGTGTGTGTGTGTGTGTGTGTTGTTGGTCCGTCAGAAAAGAACTTCACGGATGGAGGGCGGGCGGTCTTCAGAATGTGGCTCTCGCCTCCGCGCTGCGTGCAAACGTCTTCAGCATGTGCAAGGCTTTTTCGCGGGTGGGGGGCGGCTCCTTTCCGACATGCGACTCTCGCCTTCGCGCCGCGCTCATTCGTGCCTTGACCGTGTTGACACAAGTTCAGGGGTTGGTATGCTTGACATCCCACGGATGTTGTTCTGGTACGGTTTGGGATTGTCAGGACGCAACAGGCACGTTGATTCGCGACGTGAAATCCCAGGAACGATGTTCTGGCACGTTTCAAGATTGTCAGGACGCAGCGGTCACGGCAATTCGCGGCGTTCCAATCAATCTATGGATGTTTTTTTGCACGATTGATGATTATCAAGCGACTGTCTTCCAATAGGGCACTTTCCACAATGAAAATGCATTCTTGTAGGGACCTATGAGAACGGAACATGGAGGGAGGGATTCTTGCAACCTCGTTGATTCGTCTTGGGTTTACACTGATCCTCCTCCTCCTCCTGCTCCTGCTCCTGCTCCTGCTCCTGCTCCTCCTCCTCCTCCTCCTCCTCCTCCTCCTCCTCCTCCTCCTCCTCCTCCTCCCCCATCCCTTCCACCCCCCTCCCCCCTCTCTCGATTTTTTGTTGTTGTGCTCCTCCTCCTCTTCATCTCTCCCTCCTGCTGAACCTCCTGCCCACCCTCCATGGCCCACGGGGCTGGGCTGCTCTGGATAAGCCCGCGTCCAGAGCGCAATGAGGGAGAAGAGCACGTAGGTGAGGAACATGACCCTGTTCAAGCCTGCCCTCTGCTCTGCTCTTCGACTGTTTCGTCGACGGGATTTTTTATCATCTACCGACCACCTCAAGGAAACAACTACGCAATGTAGAGTCGTGATTGAAGCAGTGAGTACTGTGGCATATATGAAGTATCCCGTCGCAGGGCACGTGGCCCTATACTCGCCATGGCTGAGCGCGCCTCGCAGGGGGCTCCACGAGCAGCATGCTTTCGTGCGCTCGGTTTCTCGTCGAGGGGGAGGGAGGGATGAGGACAAGGAAGGGATGGGGAGGGCTGGGTTCTGAGGATGCCAAACATGGCCGCGATGTGGCGTCCAGACACGGGGGAGGCCTGAAGGACCCGATCCTTCAGGTGCACCTCCCCCCGACCTCGGCCCCCGCCCTGGCCGTACCCAACGGCCTTGCTCCAGAACGCGCGATAGGGAGGGAGGGAGGGAGGGAGACGACGAGGACGGGGAGGACGCGGATGAGAGGGACGATGCGGAGGACGAGGAGGGGGAGGATGAGGAGGACGAAGGGGGGGGAGGAGGGAACGGGGAAGGGGAGGACGACGACGATGATGCTGGCGTGGTGGTGGTAACGCAACGTAGCGGAGACAGCGAACATCTGGGAGCTGCCCCGATACGCAGCACGCAACACGTAGCGCGTCGATACGGAGCTCAACACGTAGACAGAAGACGCAGGTCTGACGCGCTACGTTCGCCAAAACGTGGGCCAACTCGTTGAGCCCACAGTGCAACGTATCGACACGGACGCTGTGAGCACGGTGCGTGCTGCGCTTCGGAGCGGGCGTAGGCGTATCGAGGCAGCTGAAGGGTGGGAGACGTGTGGCCGTGCGGGCCAGACGGCGCCCCGCCCTGCGGCGGCGGCGCGGTCTCCGACGAGCCCGGCCAGAGAGCGCCGCGCGCCCTTCCGGAGGCCGTGCCCGGCCTCCAGGAGGGCGCGCGGCACCTCTGCGCGCGCGCTCCTCCCTTCGAAAGCCTCGGCTCTGCTCTCGGGGGCGGGGGGGGGGGGGAGGTGGAAGGTGAGGGAGGGAGAGGGGAGGGAGAGGGGGAGGAGGAGGGGGAGGAGGTGGAGGGGGAGGAGGGGGAGGAGAGGAGGAGGAGGAGGAGGAGGAGGAGGAGGAGGAGGAGGTGGAGGAGGAGGGAGGGAGGAGGAGGAGGAGGACGGAGAGGAGGGGGAGGAGGGGGAGGAGGGGGAGGAGGAGGAGGAGGAGGAGGAGGAGGAGGAGGAGGAGGAGGAGGAGGAGGAGGAGGAGGTGGTGGAGGTGGAGGAGGAGGAGGAGGGGGAGGAGGGGGAGGAGGAGTGCACTTCGAAGCCAGCGGACCTTGGGCCGCCGACTGCTCTGGCACCCTCGGCTGCGCCCGGCCACGGGGGCCGAGCCGCCTCGCGGCGCCGAGGGGAAGAAGATCCCTGCGCTCGCCCGCTCACACCAGGACGAGGCGCCCGAACGACTCACACCACGAGGAGCCCGAACGACTCACACCACGACGAGGGCCCCGAACGACTCACACCACGAGGAGCCCGAACGAGTCACACCAGGAGGAGGGGCCATTCCCCGTGCATTTGCTTTACTTCTTTTCGGTGTCGTGCGCTTATGTTTCGCACGGTGGCTCGGGATGCTCCTCGGTGGCCCGCGCGGAGAAACACTGGTGTTCGCAGCTTCGACGATGTTCGCCGTGCGTTTTCGGCTTCGTGCGTTGACGTTTCGCAGCGCCTGGCTGCTGCTGCCCCCCCCCGCTGCTCATCGTCGAACTCTTCGTCGTCTGAGCGTCCCTTCTTCTTCTCGGCCGTCCCCCCCGCCTGTCTCTGCCCGCCGGCCAACTCGCTAGTTAGTAGTTCGTGCCCCTAGCTGGCTTCTTGCTGGAGCGGAGTTCGCCGCCTCGCCGCTGACGAAAACAACATATTCTGTTTCGCACGATGATTCAGGATGCCCCTCGATGGTCTTCGCCGAGGAGCAGTGCACACGTCCGAGCGATGCCGCGTGCGGAGGCCCGAGCGGGTGCAGGGCGGCTCGGTGTGGAGCCATCGCACGACCGCCTGGGGTCCCCACAGTCGCCCAGAAGAGCATTCGCAAGAAACCCAGCAGTAGGTGACTACCTACCAGACCACCCCAACCCAACCCGAAGACCCCAATTTCGGGTTGGGGGGGGTTCCATACGTGTTTTTTCGATGTTCCCCGACCCCCCCCCCAACTGGAAATGGAGGGCAAATCTGAGCCTTCGGGTTGGGTTGGGGTGGTTTGGTGGGTGGTGAGTAGGGGAACAGAAAGTGACATAAACATGAAAATTCGGAGGTCCGCGCGGATTTCTTGGATCGGCGCTGGGGCCCCCCGGCGGCGCCTCCGCCGCCCCTGGCGCGCTCCGCGCGCTAGGGAGGGGGATCCAGCGCCGATCCGAGAAATCCGCGCGGACCGCCGAATTTTCATGTTTGTGTCACTTTCTGTTCCCCCAAACGTGGGGCCACCAGCGAGGTAGCGGCTGGCCAAGGCTCCCCCGACCCCGCGGCCGCAGTCGGCCGAGGCGGCACCGAGGGTGCGAAGAACGTGCGAGGTGGAGGGGCGGGTCGACAAGCGACAGTTAAGCCCCGAGCTACAGAGCCCAGATGGTCCCAGTACGGCCCAGAGAGGCCTCTGAGACGTCTGAAGGGGGGGCCCAAAGAGGAGAGGATCATAGATTTCCTCGTTTATGGATCAACGCTTCAAGACGGCGGAAGACGCCCCCAAGATCGCCCCCAGAGGCCGCCAAGAGGGCCCCGCGACGGCCCAGGCGGGTGCCGAGACGGCCTAAGTGACCCCCAAAACGGCCCAAGAGGGGGAACACGAACTGCTATTTCGAGCCCTCCGGGCCCAGGCTGATCCCCAGGACCGCCAGCGGGCCCCCAGTAGGCCCCCAAGAAGCCCCAGGAGGCCCCCAAGAGCCCCAAAGAGGCCCCCAAGATACCCCCCGATACCCCCAAACCGCCTCAAAGAGGCTTCCGAGGTGCCTCCCAAGAGATCGCCACAGGCGTCCAAGGGGTCTCCGACCTCAAACCCAGGCGCGGTGGCGGGGTGGGCCGAAGACAACTATATCATACCATGCGGTCCACAAGCGTTGACATACCAAGTGTGCGTTGTACCAATCCTACGAACTTCTACTGTGCGGGCCACGAGCGAGCACCCGCGCGCGCGCATGTCGAAGTTATCGCGCCGCCAGCGGTCTTCTGGCAGCTTCGGGACCGAGCTCTTTAGACACGTAAGACACACATGGTTTCCAATCAACAATCGCAAGGACTGCGCGGGCGAACTTGTCCAAGCCATATGGAACCTAATTATATATATATATATATATATATATATATATATATATGGTAGGGGGGGGCTCCCAAGATCCACCTTTGGGGCTCTTCCGCTTGGCTTTTCTTTAGTTGTTGCTGCTCGGATGCAGAAGAGCCGCGGTGATTCTTGGCGGCTTACAACTTGTTGCTTTTTGAAGCCTTAACAAATGGAATCCTATTGTAATCCTCTCAGAAGGAATCCGATTGTAATCCTCGCCAAAAAGAATTCCTTTGTAATCCTCATCAGAAAGAATCTATTGTAATACGGCTTAAAGAGAATCCTATTGGAACCGTCCCAAAAGGAATCCATTTGCAATTCTTCACAAAAGGAATCCTATTGTAATCCTCCACAAGAAGGAATCCTATTGTAATCCTCCACAAAATGGAATCCTATTGTAATCTTCCACGAAATGAATCCTATTGTAATCCTCCGCAAGAAGGAATCCTATTGTAATCTTCCACAAAAGGAATCCTATTGTAATCCTCCGCGCAAGGAATCCTATTGTAATCCTCCACGAAAGGAATCCGAGTGTAATCCTCCACGAAAGGAAACCAAGTGTAATCCTGAAATCAAATTTTCAAGTGCCTAAGATTTTTCTGTTCATCGCCTTGACTTTCGCTGTGCAGGCTATAGGAAGCTCTGATCCCAAGATTTCCAAACATTTGTTCTTTTTGTTTCCCGCCTTTGTTTTTGCTGTCCAGGCACAGGGAAGCTCGGTGCCGATGGAACTTGTTTTGAAATGCGTCTCCATGGAAATTGATTGGCGGGCCTTCATCGGCCCCGAGCTTCCCTGTGCCTGGACAGCAAAAACAAAGGCTGGACACAAAACAACAATGTTTTGGAAATCCTGGGACCAGAGCGTCCTATAGCCTGCAGAACAAACATCAGGGCGAGGAACCAACAAATCAAAAAAAAAACACAAAAACAAACACATTGATCTTAGGTACTTGGAAATTTGATTTCAGGATTACAATAGGATTACTTTTGTGGAGGATTACACTAGGATTCCTTTTGTGGAGGATTACACTGGGATTCCTTTTGTGGAGGATTTCAATAGCATTCCTTTCGTCAAGGATTACAAGAGGATTCCTTTTGTGGAAGATTACACTAGGATTCCTTTTGTGGAGGATTACGCTAGGATTCCTTTTGTGGAGGATTACAATAGGATTCCTTTTGTGGAGGATTACAAAAGGATTCCTTTTTTGGAAGATTACAATCGGATTCCTTTTGTGGATAATTGCAATAGGATTCCCTTTGCGGAGGATTACAATTGATTCCTCTTATTGAGGAATTATAATAAGGCTTTCTTTGTGGAGTGGAGGATTACAATCGAATTCTATTTTGCTTCGTGGTCCCTTCTTGGTCCTCTGTGGTCCCTTCGTGGTCCCTTCTTGGTCCCTTCTGGTCTCCCTCCGTGGTTTCCTCGTGGTCCGTCCATGCTTCCTCGGTGGTCCCTCCTTGGTCCCTCCGTGGTCCCTTCCTGGTCCCTTCTCGGCCGCTCCGTAGTTCGTCGGGGTATCTACGGCGCCGGAAATGCGCGCCCAGGGGGGCGTTCGAAGACACAGGGGCCAAAGAGGACAAAGGACACGACGACGACGACAGCCTTAAAGCGTCTTGGAGGCTCACGGGAAGTTGCCATGAACCCTCTTGGGCTATCCTGAGCCACTTCGGAGGCAACGTTGAAGCATTTGGGCGCTTTCTCGGAACCATGTTGTGCCATCCTGGACGCTGCAACCCATCGCACTGTTCCTCTCCAGATCCAGGGGAAGGGGGGT